TGTTGATAAATCGTCCACTAATCTTGACCCCACATTTCTCCTCATAGAGCCAAGCCTCCCGGGATAATCTGTTCTGCATATAGGTTAAAAAGGTATGGAGATAGGATGCATCCCTGGCGTACGCCCTTCCCAATTTTGAACCATGCAGTGTTCCCTTGCTCTGTTCTGATGACTGCCTCCTGGTCCAAGTATAGGTTTCCCATTAGCACGATCAAGTGTTCTGGGATTCCCATTCTTCTTAGAGTCAGCCACAGTTTGTTATGATCCACACAGTCAAATGCCTTTGTGTGGGTCGTTTACCACAGCTAACCATATTATACTACTGTAAATAAGGTTTTCAAAGGTCTGTTACTTTTGAAGTGGAGAGTCAATCCAGCTTCCTAGTCTGTCTTAATCTGGGAGTTCTGCTGAGACATGTCCACAATGGGATGTCCTTCTGGCATTTCAAACATCAGGGCATACCTTTTCTTTTTTTTAACCTTGAAATACCTGTGGCCAGAACCAGTTTATCAAGCTATAACTTGCCATAATAATGGATGTCTTGTATTTAAAAAAAAAACCCAGAACTTACCATAAGTAATGTGTGGTATTCTAGAAACTTCTGCCCCAGAAAGCTCCCGCATGCACCTGGTAACCCTTTTTCCTCCTTACTACACCAAATGATGTAACTCGTTTCACTCATGCATTGCCATCAAGTCAGAACTAACTCAGAACTGATCCTCCAATGAGGTCTTTTCCTTTCTTTAATTTTCATGAAAGTTTAGAGACTTAGGGTTTCCAGTCATTCATTGTTGCACTTTTCTCCCTGCCCACCCCCTCCCCCCAACCTTTTAACATCACAACAACCAACAAGTTACCCTCTACAGCAAATTGTCAGACAAGTCCTGTACTGATGAAACTAAAAACTAACAAACAAGTATATATTAATCTAAGGTGTGAAATCAGTTTTTGTTGTTGCTGTCATCGAGTTAGAACTGTTCTAACTTCTTATATCTTCATTATATATTTAAATTGTGTGGACTTCATACATATTGGGTATTGTCTTTCTTATCACCAAAGATAACAAATGGGTACCATCTAGACGGTTATATTCTCATCTCTTCCCTTCCATCTTTTTAACTATCAAAGAATCTTGCTCTCTATGTGTATACCTAGTCTTGAGTCTATAAAAGTGAGATTGTAAAAAAAAAAAAGTGAGATTGTAAATTTATACAATGTTTCTCCTCTGTTACAAATTTATTTTATGCAGCACATTGTGCTCCAGATTTGTCCATATGAAAAAGGTTTTGGAGACTTATCATTATATTTCATAAGAAGCATACTATTGAATTTATGTATCATAATTTGTTTAAGCTCTGGGAACTTAGGTTATTTACATCTTTTTGCTATTATGAATAATGCTACAGCGAATAGAAGTATGCATATGTTTATTTATGGCACTGAAAAAATTTTTGTATCTCTTGGTTGTTTATCTAGAAGTGTAATTGTTACATCACACAGTATCCTATTTCTAGATATTTCAAGGAAGTATCAAACCACTTTCTATATTGTTTTACAGCTTAACCAGTAATGTTTAAGAGTTTCAATCTCTCCACAACTTCATCAGCATTTGTTGTTTTTGGTTTTTATGATTAGTGTCATATTTACAGGAGTGAGATGGTATCTCATTGTATATTTGGCTTATATTTCTGTGATATTTAATAATAAAAAAATTATGTTTTCTGACCTCTCCTTTAGTCATTAGTTGACTATTTTAACTCAAATACTTCACAAAGAAACATATAAAAATGAAATTGAGAAAAAGTACTATAAAATGTTTTCCAAATTAAAATTCAACCCCCTACATAAAATAATTATAAGATCAATTACTAACAAAAACTTAAGTCTATGATATAATATTGCCTCCATCACCTTTTGCTGTTTTCAACCAGGTATTATACTAAATTTTTTTAAAGGAATGTTTTCATATTTTTCACTATTGATTGGTATGCACTGTTGGCTATTTAAGTAGAAAAAAAATAGTATAAGATAGTAATTTAGCAAAATGAACTAATCATTGGCACTGTTTCATGATTTTCTTAAATAAGATATAGTATAACAAAAAAAATTACATTCACTATTCAAGTTGTTGTTATTTTTTGATTACTGTCAAGTTGAGCATGATTCATAGTGAGTCTATGAACAAAAGACCTGAAACCTTTTTATAAACACTGTTGTTTCTCCAAGTTAATAGAGTTCCAGAGGCATGTGGTTTAGGCAGTGGATGCCACTCCTACATAGAAACCTGTCTTAAACTGGGATATTCACCAAACATTGTCCTCCATTGGTAACCATTATGGCCTTTGAGACTCAAATGGCACAAGGTTCAGTACAGGAAAACGACAGAAGAGTGCTGTACCACTTAGAAGAATGTTCCTCCAAAATATAATAACCACCATCTTTTAAAATTCGAAGGCCCTCCAAAAGGTCTTATTGACTCTAAAC